GGCAGTAACGTCGCAGAAGGAATCATCCACGAGAACCCATTTGTTCGATACTTGCGTACTAAAGACATTCACGATCAAACGCCGCATCACGAGTGATCCTACTTTTCCGAAGAAGCAATTCGGCAGCCAGCTGAGGCCAAATCAGATATCCGAGGGCTGTTCCCAAGGTAAGCTTCGCGCGAATCGCAACAAACTGGTCAAGGAGAGACATCATCGCTCGCTCAGGTATTTCAGTGAACACTGCGAATGTGATCATTTCGGCGTAGCGTATTATGTATCATAACAATATGCACACCTATTCACACGTTTGAGCTTCAACTAGGGTAGACTTCTACAAGAGCTTCACTAGCTACTTCAACGAAACAGCTATCTGGCAGCGAAAAACGGAAGGGGGAATGGAAGCGGGAGAAAAATTTTTTCTCTAGCGGGAACGGGAGAGGGCGGGAAATCGCAATTTTCCCGCTTTTTCCCGCTGAATGATTCCACGTACATTTATACGGCGAGATGTGTATCAGATACACATCGTGGAGCTCATGACGACACGCACAGAATCGATGGCACTTTAAGACGCCTTCCTCACGTATCGAGTCGTATATCTTCTTACCCCGATTGACATAACAACTCGTCAAATGGCAAGGTTCTCAAGTTTTTCAAAGGAAATTCGACGCTTCTCATGTAATGGGTAACAATAGTAGCAGGAACTCACTGGAGTGTTCAGTAGCAGCCGTTCGGGTCTCTGGCCATGCATCAGAGGGAAGCTGGAGCCAGCTATGCTCGAAAAGCTGAGATGAACCAACATCACCGCCGTGCATGACATAGAGTGTGCGTAGGTTTGATATGCTAAAGAGTGTGCGTTTTCTATTCCGGGATTAATGACAGAGAACAACTTGTCGCTATCATAGTCTCGAAAGGTTATCATCGTATGTTCATAGCAATGGTTACATTGTTCAACCCGGAAAGTAACGCACATTCGCACATCACATCAACACGCATTATATGTCTATGATAAAATGACTTACCACAACCTCATGACGATTTGATTCTTCTCGTCGTAGTAGTTCTACTCCCAATGGTGCACTCAAGCCGTCTTGTAGTGAATACTGATCAACAGGGACATAGCAAGCCAGGCAGCTGTCTCCTAATTCGGGCTTACCATGCGAGATGGTAGTAATCCACTAGCCGGGGTCAAATGCTGTGATTGTTCTGCCACCGCTGATGCTCTCGTATCGATGTACTCAAACTGTGGCGCACGCAGACAGTTCTCTAATCTGAAGCTGGACACTTAAACACCTTCTAACGAGAGCATACCTCTGATGTGTGCAACTACACTCTTGGTTGAACAGGATGTCCCCTGGGGAGACATCCGGACGGGCCTCGTATACCTAGGTGGCGTGAAAGCACTAGAAACGCCGTTATCAAGATCAATGCTAAGCTCAGATGGGGCATTTTCTCGGAATTTCCCCATCGTCAGTGACAATGGGATAATGTCCACCATATGTTCGGTGACAATTTGTCAACCACACACATATGTGGTGACATGTGAACATTTCCTACTGCTCGAGACCACTTTTGATGTGTCAAATATCGAGTTAATAAAATACACTAGACAGTTCACCGCGCTAGGCTCAAGTTGAGAATGCAACTTTATTCTATGATGGTTTTCAATATGGGGGAAAATATGCACATAGTCAATCACACGTGTCGGCGAGAATATAGAAATTCTGGGAAGTTCTTGTTGGCTTTGCCGCAATTCATATTCAATTTATGAACTTCCGAGCTCCGCTGAGAAAAGGGAATCAATATTCCAACACTGGATAGTTTACTGCTGGTATCATAATGTCACATGATTTCTGTGCGAAATCATTGATGTCTCTACAGTGACTCACATATGGACCATTATTGGGGATCGTAACCACCACACTCGGACACGACAAAGAGCGCTTCATGATTGGTTTCCACGGTGCATCGCTGATATCGACTATCCAAGCTTGCAAATATCTGCGGGGGCAACTGACGCCGACGTTACGTTCATAGACGCCTCACGATGTGTCGTCAAGAGAACTTCCGGCATCGTATTTGTAATTGACATGAGCAATGAACACTTCTTCATCAACACCTTGAAGAAAGATACAGCACTACATATACGGTACGACGGTGCATGTCGATCCAGAATCGATCTGGAACTATATAAACAATGTAAACACTGCTATGATTCATAGCGTTCATTCATAGACTATGAACATGTGATGTGATAAAAGTGACTCTTCGAGACGATGATTTGTTCACTTGAAGCGCCCGTTCTCCTCATTTGCGTATTAAATTGGCATGCTCGATGTGCTTCACAACGTGTGAACCACAACGAAATAGAGGACAACAAGCACAGCAGCATACATCTTACAACAGCCAACGTCAGTCTCTGAATTTATACAGTAAGCGACATATAAGACTAAATCACCTTCCGTTCGCATGTGCCACGTGTTTTGGTTGGGATAGGTAGCCTCCGCGAATCTAGCCAAAGTTGTGATGTTCGGATCGAGATCGATGACCTTCCGAGAATTGAGCTTGGCGCCAAATCTTGTACTGACTGCAACAAATGCACAACTTGCAGTCATCACGGCTAATCGCGAGTATTCCACCTTCTGGCAAACCGTCGCCTCTCATGTATGAGACATTCCATACGTCGCTTGAGAGGACTGTCACGAACGGACCGAGGATGAGTGTTTTATGCATGGGCGAAGCACGCAACTACAGAGGTAAAGTGGGGGTCAATTCGATATGCAATTGGGTGTCATCTTCTGAGACCAATGAGAATCGACCTGAATCGATCATAGGAGTGCCGACGAGGGGAATGCACTCAGAGACACAGAGTCTGAGTGACAATCAGTGAGTGTGGCGACCGTGTGTGTCTACACCCTCTTCGGTACTTCCTACCGGGGGTAGTGGCATTTGGATTGAATGAAGAAACCTCTCCATCCCTTGACTCAAGCATGATATACGGAACGCGGGTAAGATCCGCTCGGTTTACGGTTTCATCTCTGCAGTGCAAATTGCTAGCGAAACGGCGCGACTATCTGTATCGATATTCAACCTAGGTCAACAGGTTAACTTTCAAAATATTGAGCTTTCTACACCAACTCGGACTGGTGTGTACAGAAATCAATGAGATCTTTCTAAAATCTCTTCGGAATTCCCTCGTTGTCGCGAACGCACGTAGTTGGCCATGTGCACATTTTCTCATGCTGTGAGCAGCTTACACTGGATTGTCTGGGGCATATCGTGTCATTCACGATGTGTATCAGGAAGCGGATACTGAGTAGCCGATACCCATTGAGGAGTAGCTTCTGGGTTCGAGGATGCCCCGACATGGAATTTCTACGGTGTGTGTGTGTGTGTGAACTTGATATGCGAATGTGTGTTACTTTCCGAGATTGATAGGAATCGCTCTGAACATTGCTTTGAACATGTGATGTGACAAGAGTAACCTTTCAAGACTACGATAGCGACAAATTTCTCACCGCCGTAAATCCCGGAAAAGAAAACGCACATTTTGCACATCAATACTTTTGATGTCGTCTCACGTGATTCTCTCGCCTGCCGCCCATATTTTTCGGCAGTTTTTCGTATTATTAATGCAGAGCTGGTTTGAAGGGGATGTGGTCAGAACAAGTCACGATGCTGCCGAGGGCTTTGGAAGGTTCATGAGTAGGTCTTTCACTTTCGCTGGGCTCATCAGGATGTGGATGTTACAGCGGCAGTTTGAAAACATATTCTGATGACGAATTTGTCATCAAGCGCGGTAGCAAATGCCGGTTTCTCATCGGGGATGAATGCCTCGACCGAGAAGACACAAGATCGACCCTATCATAGGAGTAACACAAGCCGGAAAACTGAGCTGAGAAGCTCGAGTAGAAGTAGAAAGACCTTGTCGCTTATAAGCAGACCGAAGTGCTGACCACGAAGCAACACAAATGTGATAGGCAGATTTAACCAGTTACAACGACAATGCCAAACGAGTCGTTTGGCATTGTCGACGTTTGAAACGACTGGAAAAGGGTGGCCTATCCACCATGAAGACGAATGGCTTCTCTATCTGCCCATAGAGCAAAAGATAGACTGAATGTAGCACATCCCGAGACATTGTATAAAGAGTCGCAGTTAGAGTGAGAGGATGAGCCAGGGGCTCACTGAAAGCTATAACGAGCGAGGACATAATACTGGCCATCGGCTGAAAATACGGCACTTCGCGGAACCGACCAGGGGAAGTTTTTAGTAAATGCTTACATGTGATATGTTCGAAATGGGTACTCTTGTAGAGTGCCATGGCACCAATCGAATGGGGGTTCACGCGGAGATACATCGCGGCGACCTCGGGCTTTGAGAGGCCAATCTGAGGAAACCCCTTGGTAAGGTGGAGGAAGAATGAATCTATTCTTTCGAACTTGCAAAGTGAAGTTCGACTGTTTCAATCACTAGAAGCAACTTCCCCAACACCCACATATTTGAACATATTGTTCAACATGTTTGTGCCAATGGATTGTCCCTGCCACTTTTCTAAAACTTCGACCTGAAGTTGACGTAACAAATATGTCTCAACATTCAGTTTTAGGCAATTTACCCAATTGATATATCCGATGACGTGTCCTTCAGCAGATTTGGGTCTGAAACGACGTAATCATGGCTTATGGACTAGCGAGTTTAACATGGAAGAAACACAAGTGTTACATCTTTTGCCTCACCAACTCCTCCACCTTTTTATCCGCTTCCTTGGTAGGAATGGTCATCATCACTACGCCAATCACTGTCTGAGAATACAGCTTTTATTGATAACGACCGACAGCGACTGACGAGAATGTTGACAATAACCACTTATTTTTGCCCTACCCCCGACGTGGCTTGTAATAACAATACAATGATATGAGATTTCGCAGAAGAAGAGCTCACATTCTTGCCGGTCCTTGAATCCACAGCGACATAGCAAGGTTTCTCTAGGCAGCGCTTTAAGTCCTCATCCTCCATCACATCGCCTTTCTCGTATTCACGGTATGTGATGGGGGCTAGATGACGCTTGGGATGGTCTCTAGCCTGAGCCGAGCCCTCAGCAAGAATCGAGGCGATGATGAGTATGAAAGTTAGTCTCATATTCGACGAACGGTAACGTGAATCAATGAAAATGGTAACTAATCAGAAGGATCTGTTCAAACCCTGAGTGCTGCTATCGACCCTCACTACAGACTCACAAGAAGGCGCCCAACACAACCGTTCTGGACACCAACTCCGCGATAGCCACAGCGGTGACGTGGCTTGGCTCTCATGCACGCACGCACATAGTTAAGTCTCGCAGCAGACTGCTTCAGGTTTTCCCTCGACACTTTTGTCTGTCAGGAGAACAATTTGATATTTGGCCGCTTTGACCAAAGATTGAGTGACCGTCACGGGTCTCGCGTGTTGTGGGTCCAGTTTGCCTGCACCCTTGTAATCTCATCAAACCTTCGCCTTCCTCAGTATAGCGAATGAGCCCAATATCGATTACTGTGCTGCTAAGTCTGTGGTATTCGTACAGAACTCAAGTGCAGGTAGTGCGCTTATTGTTATTGTCCTAGGGTCGTAGTATTGGCTGCTCTAGCTCGAGTTCCCTTGTTGTGTTGTTCTTAGAGTTCATCAACTGATACCCCGACACCTTTTTGGTAGCAGCTCCTTGTTACGAACGATTACAACTACGAGATGGTTGGTTCAGCTTCTGGTTCTACCCCCACTCCGCCCCGAGCGGAGGGGGAGGGCCCTCGGGCCCCTTTGGTGCGTCGTGATCCTGAGGAGGCAGCTGAGGAGGCCTATGACGAGTTCATTCGTGCTGAGTTGGGTGAGGCGGCGGCTAAGCAGGCGGCCGAGATGGCGAGGCGTTCAGTTGAAGAGTATAACCGCGTGTTAGAGGAAAGGTCACCCCCTCAAGCGACCCCAACACTGAAGCATCAAAGTATGGTTACTGAGTCGGCTGAGGACAACAAGCAGGCCGAGTTATCACAGACGAGAGGCATGTTGGCGCCTCTCCTCACATCAGCAAACATATTTTATATTTGACTTCGCAAAAAACTAAAAGGGGGAATAACACAAAAAGTTCGTGTAACGTATCACCGTGGTACGTGAAACATGGGAAGTACTACGCATATCTCGCGATGTGGGCTGACTTATCCGCTCTATTTTGTGGACTGTTTTCAATTCATTTCATATCGCGTTTTCACATGGAATATCAAGCAACGGTTGAAAGTTCAATACAGTTCACATGACACTTAGATCATCTATAACATTTATAATTATATTTGATATTATAATACTGGTGCTCGAATGATGCAATAACAACCAAACACGATCCGTATAGGGACGGACGGAAGGGGGAAATAAAAAGGATAAAAAAGGCAGCGACAGGAGAAAGATGAGTACGCTCTACACGAGTGACGACACACTTTGGAGCAATCGTGTGTGGACTAATGTAAATACCTAGACGGTGCAAAGAGTATCAAAATATAGTCAATAACCCAAGAAGGTCCGTCCAAGGGGCTCACCTAATGCAACTCCATCGAAAGTCATCGACACGGCGCAGATGCCTGACACTGAGCATGCGATGTCCTGAAGGAAGGAGATGATACTGTGGAAAGAGGGAGTGAACTCCACTCGCTGAAATTGTTCATACTATATCTTATGCAATGCGGGAAAATATGTACACCATCAACTACATGTGTTGGTGACAATACAAAAATTCTGAGAAAACTTCTTGCTGGTTTTCGTACACTTCTACCATTGCATACTTAATGAGAAAACTTCTGAGCTCAGCTGAGGAACGCGGAGGAATATCTTTCCAGACCGAAATCATCGTCGCAAATGTAATTCATTAAAACTTCTATTAGAGACAATCCCTGTAATAGAGACTTCACCTTAGCAAAACTCCCCCGAGAAATTGGTATGTTAGTGACAAACGGACTGCTCGGACCGGACCAGGACGAGCAATGTGGAGGCAACCAGTAGAGCTTCTCGCCGTAGTTGTCACCACACCAGCTGTCACAGGTGTTATTGAGCTCAAAGGAAGTAAGATGCACTCACCGAGAATCACAGTGCCATGTCACGACATGCCAGGAGCCGTCCACGGTATAGCTAACAAGAAGGTACAGATGCGAGTGCAGTACAATAACGACAAGCGAACAGATTCAATGGGAAGGTGAGAATACAGAAATTCTTGCTCCAAAATCAGAAACCATATCCGATATTCTGTTCGAATTTTTGTTTTCTTTCGATTCGAATAAACATTGCTATGAACATGTGATGTGATGAAAGCAACCTTTCGAGACTATGATAGCGAAAAGTTGTGCACTATCATTAATCCCGAACGAAAGAGGCACATTCTCCACATTTGCATATCACAATTGCACACACTGTATAAGACACTTCATCCACTTCGTCTCGTATCTCTGACGGCATCATTTCTCCAATGCCTTCCCAGATTTTTCGACCACTTATAGTATCAAGCTTATCAACCTCGCATTTTTCCGTAACAGTTGACCACCAAAACTTCACAGAAAAAGGGTTCGATCGATATCATGGACATGTCTAGCCAAAGGTGCTCGTTTTCCCTCACCGAACATTGCCAAGTCCATCTGTTGCATACTCCCAGTCAGCGTGGATCTCGTGAACCATCTTCCAACCTAGACGGAAACACTGAGGGTTCGCTCAGTTTCACTACGAAAATTGGTTTCATTTCTTCATGAGCAAATTTCAAGTCTAAATTCTCGATGATAACCTACTTCGTATATCAGTGGTGTCATAGTAGCGAATTCTGTTCTTGTCGAGCGGATCAAGAACGGTAGTAATATACATTTGCGAATCATCTTTTCCTGAAAAAATACAAATATTGTCGCAATTGAATGAAATCGCTACGAATGTGAGGGGGGATATGTGAATAATTGACTACACATGAAAAGTCCGAGGGAATTTCAGGAAAATCATTTAAGTTTCTGAAAACTTCTACCCGAATCCTCAGACAAACTACTGTGAGGAAACCCCTAAGCTAAACAGAGAAAAACGAACGTATATTCCAACAGTGTGTTGAATCCTGAGCTCAGCTGAGGAAAGTGAACATATATTCCTACTCCAACACTGTGTTCACTTCTGAGCTCAGTAGCTGAGGAAAGCAAACATATATTCCTACTCCAACACTGTGTTCACTCCTGAGCTCAGTAGCTGAGGAAAGTGAACATATATTCCTACTCTAACACTGTGTTCACTCCTGAGCTCAACAGAGAAAAGCGAGCGTATATTCCAACACTGTGTTGAGTCCTGAGCTCAGCTGGGGAAAGTGAACATATATTCCTACTCCAACACTGTGTTCACTCCTGAGCTCAGTAGCTGAGGAAATCAAACATATATTCCTACTCCAACACTGTGTTCACTCCTGAGCTCAGCTGGGGAAAGTGAACATATATTCCTACTCCAACACTGTGTTCACTCCTGAGCTCAGCTGGGGAAAGTGAACATATATTCCTACTCCAACACTGTACTCACCAGGGCATTGTGCGTCAGTGACTTTGTTATCAATGATATGCACATCATGGAAGTCGTTCTTTCTACACTTCAAATCACCAGTGACGGTGTATACCTGAGTAAAAAAAGAACAAATTTCAGAAGACTGCTCAGCACTATTCGGCAGAGAATACGATGGAAAAGTACAGTACATGCCTTTTCGATGAGAAAATGTGAGGAATGTACGTCTTCTATTCCGGGCTTAATGATGGTAAACAACTCGTCGCTATCGTAGTCTCGAAAGGTCACTTTTATCACATATTTATAGCAAGGTTTACATTATACCTTTTAGACCTTTTTTTAATACTCTCGGGAAATAACAGACACGTACTCATCAAATTGAGACGCACTGTGCTTACAAATCTAACATCGCGCATAGGATCAGTCGTATCATATATATGAATTCGCCCATCAGGTCGCTGGGGGTCGTTCTCGTCACGAATGCAAACAAACAGAAATGGTCTCGAATCACCTGCCAAAGGCGGTGTGGAATAACCCTTTCATGCGTTCCAACACAGAAACATGACTCTGATGTTGCTACTACTTCTGGTGATAGGCATGATAAACCCGAATCGTGAGGACACTAGCATACTGAAGCTCATCGATATCAATAGGAAATCACAAGGTGTCGAGTGAGGCTGGTCTTAGGAATCCACGAACAGCATCACTGAGATGCTATGGTCAACTATGCATGTTGGTGATAATAGGAAAATTTTGAGGAAATCTTGAGAAATTCTTCTTGGCTCGACCCGGATTCGTATGCAAACTCCTATGATCAGCGAAGGAACTCTGGCAACATATATCTCAACACTGATCTGACAATACTTTCGATTCACTCACTATGTTCCATCCAAATGACAAGACCTCCGCCCGGATCAGCGTCGAATAAGTTCTTGTAATGCGCGACGCTTCCATTCTGATCAATTCCCTTCCCAGTATCGTGAACACGTAGCCCTGCTTCAACCGAATACACTGTCGTCAGACCAGGGGTGACTCCAAGAATCGCCTCATCTGTGAGTTGCCTGAGCAGCAACTTGTTTTTTCATCCAGCGACAAGTGTCGTGAGCACATGTATGAATGCGGGTCAGTAGCAAGAGCTCTGAAGGGTTTACAACGAATCGTCATAAATATGTGAATATCATATACAATACAGAAATTTTGAGGAAATTTCGAGGAGATTTGAAGGAGATTTTCAGGAAATTTTCAGGAAATCTTGAGGAAATCCCCGTTGGTTCCTCCACCGCAACTCTTAGAATTAGTGAGGAAGCTCTTGCGCTCAGCTGAAGAAAGCGAGCGTATACTCCAACACTGTGTTCACTCCTGAGCTCGGCTGAGGAAAGCAAATATATATTCCTCCAACACTGTGTTCACTCCTGAGCTCAGTAGCTGAGGAAAGCAAACATATATTCCTACTCCAACACTGTGTTCACTCATGAGCTCAGCTGAGGAAAGCAAACATATATTCCTACTCCAACACTGTGTTCACTCCTGAGCTCAGCTGAGGAAAGCGAACATATATTCCTACTCCAACACTGTGTTCACTCCTGAGCTCAGCTGAGGAAAGCGAACATATATTCCTACTCCAACACTGTGTTCACTCCTGAGCTCAGCTGAGGAAAGCGAACATATATTCCTAGGAATTAGGATCCTAATCCAACACTGTTTTCCGAGCCAACATAACTAATGGTTCAGTCCGCAAATGCGATAATCCTCTCGAGACACAAATTTTGCGTTTGCGGTATGTGAATCCGCGTGAAAAAAACGACGTCCTTCCCGTTTGTAAGCGCTTCACCCACACTGTCTTTCCCAACTTGAACTTCTCCAACAATTCCATAGCTATAGCACTCTTTGAATCGATCACAAGCTACAGAAAGAGCCACTACCAAATTTGTGTTATTTTGATATGCGAATATGTCACATATTATATGTGGTATTTTGCAAGATTGTCAAGTATCGATGTGAAATATATCGCAGAAGCGATGTAAACACTGCTATGCACAAGTGATGTGATAAAAGTAGTCTTTCGAGACAAGTTGCATCGAAATTAGCATATCCTCTGCATCTGCATATCGAAAAGATGCACATAGTATTATAAGTGTAAGCGTAGGAGTCGCTGTTGACAAAATTTTGACTTTCACAAGCCACGACGCATTCAGAATAAAATCGATAATACTCAGCAGTGTGATATGAATATAGTAGTAATTGATTCTCCAGAAAATTTTGGAAAGTCTACACAACTAATTTTCCACATGCATAGTGATTCCCGTCTCGAGGACATACCAACGGCATCGTCATTAGTGAGACTTCAGTGGGAAATGCATACACCTATGCAAGGCGTGCTTCAAGACATGATTTGTTGCAAGTCTTACGTCGTAGTCCTTCGTAGAGGAAGCGGAAGCGTTGGTTAGAAGTATCATACCGTGTGCATCTGATGTAGATGCAGATCGATGAAGCTCACTCAGTCTGTTGATCATTTCGTAAGTATGATTATTGATAGGATCTCTAGATTGCAGTAACCATTGACGTGAGTGTTCTAATATCTACCAGGCTAATTCTCAGTCTACTGCCTACTGTATCCACACGTGAGAAGTTGATTGGGAAGATAATGTATATGGTTGATCACCAGGATGATACAATATCATCGATCACGCCACCTAGGACCATGAGGGCTCTCGCTCCTTACCACGATCGTTGGGGAGAGGCTCGAACCGATCGCCGCCATGGTCCGAGTCCTAGCGTGAAATTGAGACTGAAACTAGAATTTATATTTTCCCAACGAGATGATATAGATTCTAAGTTGAAGTAGCCCTCTCTCAAGAGGGGCTCCGCTCAACGGGCAGCCGCCGAATTTTCCCCTTGCTGTTGGAATCTATAATCATGACCCGAAGTACGGATGCTCAGTGTGAGGGCGAGCAAACCACGTGCATCAGGGTCATGTACTCTTGAGTACTGTAGTTGTACAGAGTGCACAACTATGGGCTCTAGCTCGATACTAGCTATCCATTCTGAGGGTACGATTGTAGATAGAATCTCTAGATTCCATTAATCATTGCCGTGAATGTCCGTATGGTTGATAAATATGTGACTTGCGGAATATCGATAAGCTTACTAGATAGCAGCAGAGCCTTGTACTGGGCAGTAACGTCGCAGAAGGAATCATTCACGAGAACCCATTTGTTCGATACTTGCGTACTAAAGACATTCAAGATCAAACGCCGCATCACGAGTGATCCTACTTTTCCGAAGAAGCAATTCGGCAGCCAGCTGAAGCCAAATCAGATATCCGGGGACTGTTCCCAAGGTAAGCTTCGCGCGAATCGCAACAAACTGGTCGACGAGAAACATAATCGCTCGCTCAGGTATTTCAGTGAATACTGCGAATGTGATCATTTCGGCGTAGCGTATTATGTATCATAACAATATGCACACCTATTCACACGTTTGAGCTTCAACTAGGGTAGACTTCTACAAGAACTTCACTAGCTACTTCAACGAAACAGCTATCTGGCAGCGAAAAACGGAAGGGGGAACGGAAGCGGGAGAAAAATTCTTTTACTCTAGCGGGAACGGGAGAGGGCGGGAAATCGCAATTTTCCCGCTTTTTCCCGCTGAATGATTCCACGTACATTTATACGGCGAGATGTGTATCAGATACACATCGTGGAGCTCATGACGACACGCACAGAATCGATAGCACTTTAAGACGCCTTTCTCACGTATCGAGTCGTATATCTTCTTACCCCGATTGACATAACAACTCGTCAAATGGCAAGGTTCTCAAATTTTTCAAAGGAAATTCGACGCTTCTCTTGTAATGGGTAACAATAGTAGCAGGAACTCACTGGAGTGTTCAGTAGCAGCCGTTCGGGTCTCTGGCCATGCATCAGAGGGAAGCTGGAGCCAGCTATGCTCGAAAAGCTGAGATGAACACTATGTGCCATGAGGAACCAGCATCACCGCTGTGCGTGACATAGAGTGCGTGTAGGTTCGATATGCTAAAGGATGTGCGTTTTCTATTCCGGGGTTAATGACAGAGAACAACTTGTCGCTATCATAGTCTCGAAAGGTTATCGTCGTATGTTCATAGCAATGGTTACATTGTTTAACCCGGAAAGTAACGCACATTTGCACATCACACCAACACATACTATATGTCAATGATAAAATGACTTACCACGACCTCATGACGATTTGATTCTTCTCGTCGTAGTAGTTCTACTCCCAGTGGTGCACTCAAGCCGTCTTGTAACGAATACTGATTAGCAGGGCCGTAGCAAGCCAGGCAGCGGTCTCCTAATTCGAGCTTACCATGCGAGAAGGGAGTAATCCACTAGCCGGGGTCAAATGCTGTGATTGTCCTGCCACCGCTGATGCTCTCGTATCGATGTACTCAAACTGTGGCGCACGCAGACAGTTCTCTAATCTGAAGCTGGACGGTTAAACGCCTTCTAACGAGAGCATACCTTTGATGTGTGCAGCTACATTCTTGGTTGAACAGGATGTCCCCTGGGGAGACATCCGGACGGGCCTCGTATACCTAGGTGGCGTGAAAGCACTAGAAACGCCGTTATCAAGATCAATGCTAAGCTCAGATGGGGCATTTGCTCGGATTTTTTCCATCGTCAGTGACAATGCCAATGACAATGGGATAATGGTACACCATATGTGTCGGTGACAATTTGTCACCAACACATATGGTGGACCATGTGAACATTTTCCCTTACTGCTCGAGACCAATTTTGGTGTGACGAATATCGAGTTGATAAAATACACTAGACAGTACACCACGCTAGTCTCAAGTCGAGAATGCAACTTCATTCTAGGATGGTTTTCAATATGGGGGGAAATATGCACATAGTCAATCACACGTGTCGGCGAGAATATAGAAATTCTGGGAAGTTCTTGTTGGCTTCTGCCGCAATTCATATATATGAACTTCCGAGCTCCGCTGAGGAAAGGGAATCAATATTCCAACACTGGATAGTTTACGGCTGTTATCATAATGTCACATGGTTTCTGTGCGATATCATTGATGTCTCTACAGTTACTCACATATGGACCATTGTTGGGGATCGTAACCACCACACTCGGACATGACAAAGAGCGCTTCATGATTGGTTTCCACGGTGCATCGCTGATATCGACTATCCAAGCTTGCAAATATCTGCGGGGGCAACTGACGCCGACGTTACGTTCATAGACGCCTCACGATGTGTCGTCAAGAGAACTTCCGGCATCGTATTTGTAATTGACATGAGCAATGAACACTTCTTCATCAACACCTTGAAGAAAGATACAGCACTACATATACGGTACGACGGTCCGTGTCTATCCAGAATCGATCTGGAACTATATAAACAATGTAAACACTGCTATGATTTATAGCATTCATTCATAGACTATGAACATGTGATGTGATAAAAGTAACTCTTCGAGGCTATGATTTGCTCCTGATTTGCGTATTAAATTGGCATGCTCGATGTGCTTCACAACGTGTGAACCACAACGAAATAGAGGACAACAAGCACAGCGACATACATCTTACAACAGCGATCGTCGGTCCCTGAATTTATACAGTAAGCGACATATAACACTAAATCACCTTCCGTTCGCATGTGCCACGTGTTTTGGTTGGGATAGGTAGCCTCCGCGAATCTAGCCAAAGTTGTGATGTTCGGATCGAGATCGACGACCCTTCGGGAACTGAGTTTGGCGCCAAATCTTGTACTGACTGCAACAAATGCACAACTTGCAGTCGTCACGGCTACTCGCGAGTATTCCACCTTCTGGCAAACCATCGCCTCTCATGTATGAGACATTCCATACGTCGCTTGAGAGGACTGCCACGAACGGACCGAGGATGAGTGTTTTATGCATGGGCGAAGCACGCAACTGCATAGCTAAAGTGGGGGTCAATTCGATATGCATTTGGGTGTCATCTTCTGAGACCAATGAGAATCGACCTGAATCGACCCTAGGAGTGCCGACGAGGGGAAGGCACTCAGAGACACGGAGTCTGAGTGACAATCAGCGAGTGTGGCGACAGTGTGTGTCTACACCCTCTTCGGTACTTCCTACCGGGGGTAGTGGCATTTGGAATAAATGAAGAAGCCTCACCATGCCTCGATTATAGCATGATATACGGAACGCGGGTAAGATCCGCTCGGTTTACGGTTTCATCTCTGCAGTGCAAATTGCTAGCGAAACGGCGCGACTATCTGTATCAATATTCAACCTAGGTCAACAGGTTAACTTTCAAAATATTGAGCTTTCTACACCAAATCGGACTGGTGTGTACAGAAATCAATGAGATCTCTCTAAAATCTCTTCGGAATTCCCTCGTTGTCGCGAACGCACGTAGTTGGCCATGTGCACATTTTCTCATGCTGTGAGCAGCTTACACTGGATTGTCTGGGGCATATCGTGTTATTCACGATGTGTATCAGTAAGCGGATACTGAGTATTCGATACCCATTGAGGACAACGATGCAAGTAGCTTCTGGGTTCGAAGATTTCCCGACATGGAATTTCTACAGTGTGTGTGTGAACTTGATATGCGAATGTGTGTTACTTTCCGAGATTGATAGGAATCGATATGAACATTGCTTTGAACATGTGATGTGACAAGAGTAACCTTTCAAGACTACGATAGCGACAAATTTCTCACCGCCGTAAATCCCGGAAAAGAAAACGCACATTTTGCACATCAATACTTTTGATGTCGTCTCACGTGATTCTCTCGCCTGTCGCCCATATTTTTCGGCAGTTTTTCGTATTATTAATGCAGAGCTGGTTTGAAGGGGATGTGGTCAGAACAAGTGACGATGCTGCCGAGGGCTTTGGAAGGTTCATGAGTAGGTCTTTCACTTCCGCTGGGCTCATCAGGATGTGGATTTTACAGCGGCAGTTATGAAAACATATTCTGATGACGAATTTGTCATCAAGCGCGGTAGCAAATGCCGGTTTCTCATCGGGGATGAATGCCTCGACCGAGAAGACACAAGATCGACCCTATCATAGGAGTAACACAAGCCGGAAAACTGAGCTTGTCGCTTATAAGCAGACCGAGGTGCTGACCACGAAGCAACACAAATGTGATAGGCAGATTTAACCAGTTACAACGACAATGCCAAACGACTGAAAAAGGGTGGCCTATCCACCGTGAAGACGAATGGCTTCTCTATCTGCCCATAGAGCAAAAGATAGACTGAATGTAGCACATCCCGAGACATTGTATAAAGAGTCGCAGTTAGAGTGAGAGGATGAGCCAGGGGCTCACTGAAAGCTATAACGAGCAAGGACATAATACTGGCCATCGGCTGAAAATACGGCACTTCGCGGAACCGACCAGGGGAAGTTTTTAGTAAATGCTTACATGTGATATATTCGAAATGGGTCCTCTTGTAGAGTGCCATGGCACCAATCGAATGGGGGTTCACGCGGAGATACATCGCGGCGACCTTGGGCTTTGAGAGGCCAATCTGAGGAAACCCCTTGGTAAGGTGGAGGAAGAATAAATCTATTCTTTCGAACTTGCAAAGTGAAGTTCGACTGTTTCAATCACTAGAAGCAACTTCCCCAACACCCACATATTTGAACATATTGTTCAACATGTTTGTGCCAATGGATTGTCCCTGCCACTTTTCTAAAACTTCGACCTGAAGTTGACGTAACAAATATGTCTCAACATTCATTTTTAGGCAATTTACCCAATTGATATATCCGATGACGTGTCCTTCAGCAGATTTGGGTCTGAAACGACGTAATCATGGCTTACGGACTAGCGAGTTTAACATGGAAGAAACACAAGTGTTACATCTTTTGCCTCACCAACTCCTCCACCTTTTTATTCGCTTCCTTGGTAGGAATGATCATCATCACTACGCCAATCACTGTCTGAGAATACAGCTTTTATTGATAACGACCGACAGCGACTGAGGAGAATGTTGACAATAACCACTTATTTTTGCCCTACCCCCGACGTGGCTTGTAATAACAATACAATGATATGAGATTTCGCAGAAGAAGAGCTCACATTCTTGCCGGTCCTTGAATCCACAGCGACATAGCAAGGTTTCTCTAAGCAGCGCTTTAAGTCCTCATCCTCCATCACATCGCCTTTCTCGTATTCACGATATGTGATGGTGGCTAGATGACGCTTGGGATGGTCTCTAGCCTGAGCCGAGCCCTCAGCAAGAATCGAGGCGATGATGAGTATGAAAGTTAGTCTCATATTCGACGAACGGTAACGTGAATCAATGAAAATGGTAACTAATCAGAAGGATCTGTTCAAACCCTGAGTGCTGCTATCGACCCTCACTACAGACTCACAAGAAGGCGCCCAACACAACCGTTCTGGACACCAACTCCGCGATAGCCACAGCGGTGACGTGGCTTGCCTCTCATGCACGCACGCACATAGTTAAGTCTCGCAGCAGACTGCTCCATGCACATGCGTGCAGGTTGTTCACCGAAGCTGTGAGTATCGGTTTGTCCAATAAAACTCCGTCTCGACTGGATAATATCTTAGTGGTTTTGTAGTTCCGCTACCAGAGTCAGTTTCTTCCTTTTGAGTCCAAATGGCACCTCCTAGGTAAATGCGCGTACCATACGAGAACCCGCACAAGATGCCGAGCGGAGTTCCACACGCAAAATGGAACTTCCAACTTTCCACTTCGCGAAGTACGCATGTGGTCAGTGGATAACGTGTAAAATACGTGATGTCTTTCACGTGAAATGGGATGATTTATCCGATGTAATTCGCCGATTTTTTTTTAATTCACTTCATATCACGTTTTTCAAATGAGAAGGATGACCACATTGGCAGGTTGTTGTGCGTGAAGTGAAGGTTGTGTGCAGGTCCTGCACTGCAGGGAGCCTTGAAACCTTCCGTGAAGTGACAGAATGCGCTGGCGATTCGCAACAGCGACAACATTGTTGTAACCAACTGTTAGTTAGTGTTGTCACAACAACACTAACGACAACAATAGCCAGATGTTTCAAGCTTTCAATGGATCGTCGCATCGTTTCGCTGCTTCATGGTACTGCTATGGCCAATGGGCAACTTATCACGCTAGATATAACGATCGGCCGGCGCAGATCGATATAATGATGATGTTCACAGAGTGAGAAGAAGCCGAAAATAATTTTCTCGGTTTTGATCGGAGCTCAATGAGTGCAGTGCTCAGTACCAATTTGATACTATGCAAATATAGCCTCGAAAGGTTACTTTTATCACATCACATGTTCCCTCATCTCAGTGTAAACAGAATTTACTAACAATTAAGTACTTTCACACGATATTTTCGCTTTAATACTTCCACTACTGCCAATGCACGTTCGGGGATGTCCACGAATGAACATCAAATCAGCCTCTGGGGTTAAGGCGTTCCGTTGTTATAATGGCTAGGGATCTCAACTGTACATTCCACATGATAATTTCCGGGTTCAAATATTCCTATTAGAGTAATAGTAAACTTTTTGATCACACAATTTGCAATCACGCCAGAACACTTGACAAGCTCAAGACGGTGACTGACCAGAGCCGATCCCGGAAATAAATTGTTCTTACTATGAGGGAGGATTCGACAATGACACAATGACTGTTACACAATCCTGGGGACACCGATTCTCCACTTCGTATAACGACATTACTAAATATTAATTATGAAACCTCTTGCCTCCGAGTTGTGGCAGGGCGCGTGTCGACTCTCGAGTGCCATCTGGGCACTGCGGAGGACGACACGCAAGGTACACTAAGGACACTCAGGATAGTGAGCTTCTGTCGTCAGCCACTGAAGCTTGCTACCTGGAGTGCCCCTAGGGCCTACCACCAAGCCCTGTCACAAGGAGCCTCCTTGCAGGAGGGGTCAGAAGTTCAAATCCACCACCATACCCAGGAACGATAGTGGACTGGGTTGGACCGAATTGGCTACTCTGTGACTGAATTGACAACATTACCACAGTTAAGTTTCCATTATCAAGATAGATACTATGTGTTGAGTCCCGAAACACAGTCAGTCAAGAAAGAACTACAGTAGTGGTAGTGAGACTCTGAGTATCAAACTCAGGAATCGTCCCTTAAGTGGGCGTCACCAACCCAGGCAGCTCGAACATACTCCGCGAAGATGGCTTGAGAATGTAAACCATCACGGAGATAGATCTTCTCCAAACATTCAGGCGAGAACCAACGACCAAGTTCGGCTAACAAATTTAGCGGCATCCCGGCCTCAAAACACATCATAGCACCCGACCGTCTCATAGAGACTCTATGACAGAGTGATTTGTAGGACGACCCTGTGTCACACCTCGTACCGAGATGATTGCCCGACTAGGGCTATGCTCAGGGCTATCATCTCAGGCTATGCTGCATAGCTGAAAATCTACTTCTAGAGATAGAGGTAGTACTTTATCCGGAGCAACAGCTGAACGCGAGCGTCGAAGGATCGAATGAGCGCTGCAAGACTCGGATGTACAATCTTTGTTGAGGTCCATCCAATGATATACGGAATTGTGCGGTAACAACCTTCACGAAAAGGATCAGTTTTAGAGTGACTTATAAAGACCGAGACAGCAAAACGACCAGCAATCCAAGTTGAATCCATGTCACCCGCCTGCATTTGCAGACGTTCACCTACACGGAACAACCCTGCGACGCCTAGCAGGTAAAGGTCTGAGGCTGCAGGCTCTGTAGCTCGGAGAGCTGAGGCAACAGCGAACACGTCTTCATGGGATAGGGTTTCGGCGTGCGTCTGATGGCAGCCGCGCAGCTTTTTAGCTGCTCGTATGCCAAACCCACTAGATTAAGTTAACACTGACCCAAATGGAGCCATGGGGACAAGACTATCAGGCTTCAATCGAATTCAGCCAACACTTCAACCTCTTAAGTTCCGACCTCGTTCTCAGCATACCAAGGGGGAATAAAGGCTGCTCAATAAAGACAGTCATAGGGTCTCCATTCACATCAATAACCGGCTCGATAGTATTGGCTCCAGAAAGTCGAAACACTTGGAGTTCCTTAAGACTAATCGGATGTCCAAAAAGTCGATTGGGTAATCCATAAAAAGCTTCGACCTTGATATCGTTACCATAACAATCACAAACCGGACCAACGGGACTACTATCAACTGTATCCCCATCCTCCCCGAGCCAAGCCTTCAAGTTACGTTGATGCTGAGCATAGGGAATCTTAGAGCTGCCTGTGTCAACATCATAAGTGGCTGATCCAAGTACTTTTCTCATCACATAAGGCCCTCTCCAAAGGTTGTCCAGCTTGGTCTTCCTAGGATTGCGGACCAAAACCAAGTCACCCTCATTAAAATTATAAGAACTTATGGAACAGCTGGCTGTTGAAGCTTCTTGGCATGAGCAGCACGGTTCCTTTCCCAAGCTTCTGCCCATAACTCATGGATCTTACGTCGTCTTTCAGCAAACGACTGCAGTATCTCCTTAACGGCATCAGAGGAGAGCTCGCTTCTACCCAAACGATTGCTTAACTCGGACTGTGGGGTCAGCAGAGCCAGATCCAGAGGGAAGCAAGCATCATAACCAAAGACCAAAGAATGAGGAGTAAAGCCAGTATCTTCATCAATCTGAAGATTCAAACGAAGTTGTATCAGGGGTACATCCAGATGCCACTGTGAAGCTGACGATTCAACAGATAAGCTACGCAAAGCAGCTGTTATAGACCGATGGCGAACCTCATAAAATCCTCCAACCCATGGGGACCTGGACATAATCGTACGACTCCGAAAACCCCATGATTGGAGTGCGACCTGAACGGTCTCAGTAAGCAACTGACTACCATTATCATGTATGGCCGTCCTCTGAGCAACTCTCACATCCGACGGATACCCCCAGCGGGCACAAATCAGAAGAATACCTTTACTCACATCCTCAGCACATGCTGATCTGAGACTCACCAATTCAGTGTAACGAGTTAATAAACAAGTAGCTGAGCTTCCCGAGGGAAATTTTCCCTTTTTTCCCATCGGACAAACCCTGCCTCCGACACTGACGAGGGGCATGCGGTTGCTTTGAGCGATTATTTCAAGTCTGACTGGTTACCTTGGCCTTTTCCGTGATCTCAATTCGCTGAGCCTCAGCGGCTGAGGTCTGCCGTCAGGACTACACGTTAATTCTCATTCTCGACTGAAGCCAGCTTCTAATGCATTGGGAGGAATACACTGAATACATTGAAAACAACTGAAAAGATCATTTTTGAAAAAAAAATTATGAAAATTCCCTTGAATTTCTAATGAGGGGTGTGCGAATGAGTAAAGAAATTTCAGCTTTCCCCGAGTAGATCTCACCGTGCTGATCAGAGATATGTCATCAGTGGAGTTTCACCCGTGATACGAAATACAGTAGTGAAAAATATATTCCACGGCTACTGCATAGCGCGAATATCCCATTTCCCACTGAGTATTACGCCCCATGCCTCAGTCATCACAGTTTTGGTTATTGTAGGCGCTATCTTTGAGTTTTTTATGGCTTAGTCCGAGCCCCTGGGCTGTAAATCGAGTCGATGTAGTATTGCCCTTGGGCTCCTCAAATAATTTCACCCCAAAAGTTTCGATCTACCTTCGTTGAACGGAGTTCGTTCATTGGGGTATTTCGTTATCGCTGAAAAGGAGTCGTCGAGTAATTGTGTCACATATCGTCGAGGCTGGTTGCGTTGGTATGTGTCTCCGTCCACACTGGTCAATTGTCTATCAGTCTCGTCGTTCCATTCGCTGTTGTCACGTGCAAATCAATTGCACAATGCGGGCAAAGGTAAAAACCTTCTTCCTAAGGAGAACGTATACTCCCCAAGGGAGTAATTTTGCTTGCCCTCAGCATCTACGTGCCGCAATTCTCAGCGGTTGGCCAAAATCCCAGAGCAGAGTCCAAAAGCTCTAACCGAGGTCCGAGTTGGCCGTGCTGAGGTATATCTTACCCATTCCATGTTAAGACGGGCCGTTGGCTGTTGGCAACGGCCCCTTCCATAATGAAAGGGACATTAGTTGACGTTACTCGATAACCTTTTCAATTCTCAAGCCATTGCCCGGACATCCCAAGCGAAGAAAGCCACGGACATGATGAAACAGTCAGTCAGCGCTCATATTCGAAACATGATATTCCCTTCTGTATTTATCGAAGTTGTCTCAGTAGATGTGGCGAGATAGGGGCCCGATTCTATCTCCAGGAGGAAGATAGATTCCAATAGGAGTTGTCCTCTAACTGGTGTAACACAAGGCGATACCAAAGGTCAAGGAGGTAAAGTCCACAAACAATCGTACCGTATGCAAGGATTGTCTCTTGTACTCACGATGAGAGGCGTTGGCCACTCAGCTGATGTCCTCCTGTTGATGGAATCGACGTGGAGTGTTACAGATGGATGAGCCACGAAGCGTCATCAATACTTAATGAAATAACTACGATCACTATGACACTCGAAGAGTCGACGTCACGGTATTGTATGAAAAAGCTCCTAGAGTTGGAGATGGCCCATCCAGAAATGTTCAACATACTCGCATAAAAACAGCAATTTGCTATTAGCAAATTGGACGACCAACAAAGGTCTGAATGATGGTAGACCAAAGCGGTTGGTACGCTGAGGATTCTACTGTCGAAACAATATCAACTAATGGGAAGGAGGTTCTCGGTGTGCCAGCCTCCACCATTTTCCCTTGAGGTGAATAGACGGGTGATCGAACTTAGTATCGTACTTTATATCCCACAAGTCCCCTCGCTTCACAGGTAGGTAATCCTCGCATCTTGCCTTAAAGCTTTTAATGAACTCGATCCAGTGGTGATTGGGGAGCGGTGGTATCCTGTAGCGCACATCGGACACTTTCTCGACAACAAAGGTCGCTCTAGTTGGTCTGGGACCCACCCCACAGTAGAAGCTAACATCCACTATCTTAGCATTGTCTGAGAATGTATAAACCAGATCCAAATAAGGTTCAGACACGGCCAGAAAATATGAGCCATTGAGCTCGTGGGATAGGGCAACACCGACGAGTATGAGATGGAGAAGACGGTTGGGCATGGATTCGATCAAGAAACCTACAGCAAATAGTCCTATAATATTATTCTATACAGGGGATACTACTTACAATTCTGGCCCGTTCTACGCAACACCACAATCCAGCGAAGATGCCCACACATGTGAAATGTGTTTTTGACTTCACGTAGAACTCCAATGCGTGTATGTGTGTCATCGGTTTCAGACTTTTCTAGCGATGGTTGCTCGAGCGGATCTGAAAGTGGTAGTGTTTCGACGTCCGAGTTTGGTTTTCGGGTAGTTAGTATCTCTGGTATACTAATAGCATTATAGGACTGCTTGCTGTAGGGTGGCACGCGGAAGGAAAAATAGAAAAGTTTGAAGGAAAAATACCGAAAAATACGGAAAGATAAATTTTTTCGCTTGGCCTGCCATGTTTGGCAGGCCAGAGCGTCACTGTCTTATTCGATCAGGCTGCTAGCAGATGATTTGCACTTACTAATCATGTTTTATAGCTTGATTAGATGTAACTGATCCAAAGCGTTACAAGATTTGTGAGATATCCGTACTGGAGGAGCTAGGGCGTGCGCTAAAGTTCCGCCGCTGAACAAGCGCGTTTGTGGAAAGATTCCAACGTCGTTGAACATTTCGTGATTGATTCTTCAATGTCTGCATTCTTTCGATACCATCACCACTTTTGACTCTGTTCTATCTTCCATCATTGATGATTGTACACCTCCGATCCCTGAGTTAGGCCCGTTTGTGCGGCCGTGTTGCTCTGCCTCTTTTCCGATGAGGAGTATGCACATGCGTGCAGGTTGTTCACCGAAGCTGTGAGTATCGGTTTGTCCAATAAGCCTCTGTCTCGATTGGATAATATCTTAGTGGTTTTGTAGTTCCGCTACCAGAGTCAGTTTCTTCCTTTTGAGTCCAAATGGCACCTCCTAGGTAAATGCGCGTACCATACAAGAACTTGCGCGTTACGGCTCGCTGCGCTCGCCGAAACGCGCTCGATCCGTGGAAATTCGAAGAAATCTCATCCTTGGGGTTCGAACCCTCGATCCTTAAATCTGTAGTCCTGAAACGCTTCGCTCCACCCTAGATTGTTGACTTCCCTTCTGTTTTTTTCACCTTACTTTGATTCTTTGCTACTATTCGTCTAACACTTCTACTACTTTTCCTCCTTATGGGTCCATCCCATAAGGCTCGTTCGATGGCCGAGTGGCGGAAAGACTTTCGCCTCTTCGTTGCCGGAAAACTCTCATTTGGTAACTTGATACATTGTTGTTCGGATTCGGGCCTTACACCGCTTTTAGGTTCGGGAACTGGTCGGCGGACGCCTAAGGCCGACACGGAAGCTGGCCGGCTATTCAGGACAATATTGTCTTGCCCCGCTCAGGCCAGTGGTCCTTTTACTAGGAAGAAAAGGGCTTGTAAATGCGGGTTTCATCGTGGGTTCTTTTTCGACGTTATTTCTACGATTCCTTATTTTTAATTTTCAGCTTCCTCCACTTTTGATATTAACAAGGATAATAACGATGCTGTTAATGATGATGCTAATAATAAATATAATGTAGTAATATTTTAGTTGTCAACGCATTTATACTTATGTTTAGGGCGGTAAAGGTAGTGGCGATGACCCTCCTGATGATAACACTAATACTGAAGATGGCACTTTTTGGCGGGCTACCACTACTACTACTACTACTACTACTACTACTACTACTACTACTACTACTATGGCCTCTACAAGTGCTACTGGAGAGGCGGTTACTGGGGGTGGCCAGGATAACAAAAAAATTACTTCAGTGAGTTATAGCAACGATACTATTACTCCTCTGGAATTTTATTTCGTTTAGGCCGCTACTGCTACTACTAAGGACACTACCAGTTCTACTCACCCTGCTTCTACTGCTGGGGAGAGTATTGATGCTGTGGGTCTCGTGGCCGCTGGTACTACTGGGGGTTCAAGCGTTCCATTGGGATGGGTGAAGCGAATGGGTCGCGACCAGGCGAATTGGTGCTACAAATTTAAAAAAGGGTGTCAACTGGTTGAGCACCCACTACCTCCTTTCAAATACGTCCTGCCGGGGCAACGAGCAATTGTATCCCCCCGGAAACCACAACTACTGGCGTTTACAGGCATTAAGTGTTTCTTCTGGTCGCCGAAGTCTACATTCTCATTCGATTTCCGGTGCCCTGAGTGTGGTCGTACCCTACAATCTAAGGGACTTCATCAAGCTCCGAAGTCCGTGGAGACCTCACGGCCCGTGAGTCACGGGGCAAGGTTTGGCTAGTTCAGGAACGTTATCATTGCCCTTCTTGTAATAAGGGAGGTCGCGACATGAGGGCCAGCGATCCTCGTCTTCTCTCTCAACTACCACTATACTTAAGAGAGTGTTTTCCTTTTGTCGAGAGCTACACCTCTGGCGCTGAGCGGGTGCTCCTAGATTTACTGCTCGACCGTCAGGGATCTGCCCTAACCTTTGCCGGCCTTACCAGACAAGTGGAGACATTCCAGAGAGCGGCCTACGACGATAGGGAATCGGCCTATCTTTCGGCTTGCCGAAGACACCAATGTCTGTCTGGTGAAGTAGAACCTAACTACTGTCCCTATCCTGTCATGGAGCCTTCACGGTCTGCATTTTTCTGGAAAGCTCTATTTGCCAAGTACGCTTACGACCACTGGGGCGAGCTCGCCTCACAGATGGCGTCCATAGGAGGGCATGTATTGAAGATGGACTCTTCCAAAAAGGTATCAGTCGTGCAGTTTTTATTTTTTATATAATCATTTTCAGGTGGCTCGACAAATAAAAGAGCCGTGTACCTGGCTTACGACCATCAGTAATGAGGACGGTGAAGTCGTCAAATCCATCTTGGCGGTGGATGAATCCGAGAGGGAATTGCGGAGGATGGCCGATGACCTCACGGCCAGATATGAAGCCAACTCATGGGAACGGCCTAAGGTTCTCTACGTGGACCGAGACTGCTGCGAGGTTTCTGGTAATAGTGGTGGTGGCAAATACAACAACTTATTTCATGAGTGGCCTAATTTACAAGTACGCCTCGATTCGATGCATTACATGGCTAGATTCAGCTCCCTATTAACACACCCTAGTCACCCTTTATATGCCGTTTTTAAACGGCGTTTGCGTGACTGCATATTTACTCGTGATGAGGGCGATGTGCGATCACTACTCGACTCGAAGAAAAACGAGCTTTTATCTAATGGCACTCGTGTGGAATCTCTACCTTCGCAGCACAGTTGCTAGCGATGGTACCTGGGTCGGATATACAGAAGTTTGTACGCCGTCGGATCCGTCCAGCGCCTGACATCGACCGGCTAATTAGTAACTTACTATTACAATTCTCCGATCCTCTAGTCACCGACGGGTTCGGCACTCCCTTGCTGCGTGAGGATGCGCACCGGTATTATCGGGAGGAACTGAGCAAACACTGTAAATGCTTGCAAGACTCCGAAAACGTACCGTTGTATCGACCCATTGGTACAGTGACTCGTCATGGCGTGGAGCTCGTGGCCTACCGTTGGTCGAGGGGCACTAGCAGCTTCGAGTCTTTCCACCAACATGTGAAGACCTTCGCCAGTGGCACGCGAATCAGTGCAATCCTGGCTAACGGCCTCTTAGCAATGGGCATCTGTCAGTGGAACATCCGTAGGCGCTGCGAGAAGCTAGGGGCTCGCCATCCTGATTCCATAAGCCCCTTGGACATAACTCGATATGTGGACAGGCAGCAGACTCGGGCTAAGGTTGGCTTGACCCATGCTGATGATGAAAATGAAGCTCTACTCTCGGCACTGGCTGAGCTCCGAGGGGACCCTTGCAACGAGCTGTTCCTTTGTGACTATCTCCTCAAAGATCACGACCTCGAGCATATTGAGAAGGCCCTTGAAGAGGAAGAAGAGGAGCCTCTTGACGAGTCTCTTGACGACTCAACACTCTCCGAGGGGGTTGTTGATGAAGACCTAAATGATGAGAGGCTGCGCTCGTCAGACATCGAGTCCGATGACACGCACGAGCCAGAGCGAGCTGAGGACGACAACGAGGTTTACAGAGACAGATTTGGCATCAGTGGCTTTGATAAAGTTGTGAATCTGGCGAAATACTTAGTCGACCTACCGATGGACAGCGCCGTTCTATCAGACACGCAAGCCACTCGTATCATTGACCTATGGGCTAAGCTGGAGCCTTACGACAGGGCGGCTCCTTCGATAGTGCGAGCATCACGGAAAAAAGGTGAGCCCGAACAATAGTATATCACCGAAGGGTCGTTACTTTCAGGAAACTTAAAGTCATCTGGCCGTTATCATAGAGCAGGAGTCTCACTGACAAGGGTTGCTCATATGTCGGGTAAGCTATCGTGAACTTAATGTGTCAACCACTATTATCAATTTCAGGTGAGATGATTTCTGGAGATATCATGGCCAGTCGAATCGTGACGGCCACCTTCTTGTTAATTGACACCGTGCTGCCTTCGGAAGACCCACGTGTACGGGAGCCATCTTTCATATCTCCTGAGAAGACACGCAGTCGCGTCATGCCACGGCAGCGACTCGCGCACCAACACTACTTGCATATCCTGCGAGTCATCCGAGATTCTCAGGTAGTGGCTCAGTGTCTGCTTGTATTCGTATGCTTCATTCATTTATTTTCAGGTAGTGTCTCAGTGTTTCTCCTTGTACTACGTGTCCTTGGCGGAAGTGAGGAGCTTCTTTACCACACGGTATAGGAGCCTGGAGGTCAGCCGTCTTCTTGGTGGCGTACAAGCTCCTCTTGAGGAGCAACAGCCACACTCTCACTCATCCGCACCAGAGCCCTTACCTCATCATGCTGCTCAAGAGGATCCTGCTGTCGCCTTGGCTACCGAACAGGCACTGCTCCGCGATGCAGCCTCGATAAGTCGACAGGTTGGTGGTCTACCTACAACATTTGGTCTACCTACAACATTTGGTGGTCTACCAACAACATCAGGTCTACCTACAACTGATGGTGGTCTACCAACAACATCTGGTCTACCAACAACAAATGGAGGTCTACCTACAACATCTGGTCTACCTACAATTGCTGGTGGTCTACCTTCAACATCTGGTCTACCTACAGCGGTGGACAGAGCAGCTGCCGCGTTCCTATTTATGCCACCACCATCCCCTGCTGAAACCTTACCACCCACTACCTCCCCTTACCCTTCCCCCCTAGCCCATCCCACCACCTCCCCTTACCCTTCCCCCCAGCCCATCCCACCACCTCCCCTTACCCCTTCCCCCCAGCCCCTCCCACCACTTCTCCTCCAGCTCCTCCTGCTGCTGCGTCGAGGACAACAGAGTGGCGGTGGCGCAAACGCGCAGCAGGAGGAAGAGCTGTGCGGCCTCACGCACGGAAGCGGATGTGTCGTGAGTGCAATGAGGAGAAGAATGGGACGACTGGTCACAGGCAGTATAAGGGAAGGTGGTGGTGTCCCGGTAACTCCGAGGGTGAGGACTGGTGTGCTTTCCGGGACAAGCACAAAGCGGGGGAGAAGGCGGCATAAAAGGTGAGCCACTTCTTCATTGTTAATGGTTTATTAGGTTTCTTTTTCCGGTACATTATTCAGTTGTTTAGATTGTTAAAAACTTATTTGTGCACGTGTTGAGTTTAGACTAGTGTTAATTAAAATGAATTAATATTAATTAAAGTTAGTTAGTGTTAGTTAGTGTTAATTAAAGTTAGTTAGTGTTAGTTAGTGTTAATTAAAGTTAGTTAGTGTTAGTTAGTGTTAGTTAGTGTTAGTTAGTGTTAGTTATAGTTAATTAGTGTTACTTTAAATATTTACACATTTTGTGCCAGAAATACCCCCCTTACCCCCGTTTGAAAAAAATTTTTAAAAAGTAAAAGGAAAAGTAACCCCCAGCTTCCGCACAAGATGCCGAGCGGAGTTCCACACACAAAATGGAACTTTCAACTTTCCACTTCGCGAAGTACGCATGTGGTCAGTGGATAACGTGTAAAATACGTGATGTCTTTCACGTGAAATGGGATGATTTATCCGATGTAATTCGCCGATTTTTTCAATTCACTTCATATCACGTTTTTCAAATGAGAAGGATGACCACATTGGCAGGTTGTTGTGCGTGAAGTGAAGGTTGTGTGCAGGTCCTGCACTGCAGGGAGCCTTGAAACCTTCCGTGAAGTGACAGAATGCGCTGGCGATTCGCAACAGCGACAACATTGTTGTAACCAACTGTTAGTTACACCGTGTAACTTACACGTGTTGTCACAACAACACTAACGACAACAATAGCCAGATATTTCAAGCTTTCAATGGATCGTCGCATCGTTTCGCTGCTTCATGGTACTGCTAGGGCCAATGGGCAACTTACCACGCTAGATATAACGATCGGCCAGGGCAGATCGATATAATGATGATGTTCACAGAGTGAGAAGAAGCCGAAAATAATTTTCTCGGTTTTGATCGGAGCTTAATGAGTGCAGTGCTTAGTACATAAACAGATACAACCTGCAAGCAACTTCAATGCAACCATATCATCCGGCTTAGCTAGGGGTGGATCACTCAGGAGTAGATCTAGCAGAGATTGCGGGAGGGTTTTCACTGAAAACTTTTCAGTTCCCGCTGGAAATAATATACATTGGGACCGCTATGCTCTGGTAATACCGAGATCCAGCCACACACTCCCAAAGTGGACGCATCAGATGTACGCACGACTGTTGACGTTGTTGACGCAGGTACTATGACATATTTTACAGAAAAGGTTCGAACCCTCCATAGCAGAAGATCGGCACGGAGAGTGGATCCCACAGTGGTTGTCCTCCGATTAGACTTTTCCATATGTACAATGGCTGCTGTCAAGGGCCCAGTGTGAGAACGCAAATGGGGGATGAGTTGAGAATACCAAACTAGACGACCTCTCAATTTCCGAGCGGTTCTTAGTGTGAGGATTCCTGAGTCCACCACTTCTTCTATATCTTTTATTATAATAGAAGCTTTCAGGTACGGGACACCTACAGACGCTGATGGTCCATCAGTGATGGATGAGGACTTATGATTGTACTTAGTAATAACTGAAAATAGGCGTTCTGAATAGTGGTCCCAACTGGCTCGACGGTAGGTCAACGCAATTCAGGAATTTCGAAAGATCTGATGGTAGGTACAAACATGTGCTACAGACTTATAGTAAACCCTATTATCCTATTCGGAGACTTCCCTATCGTCATCTTTGGGTAACTCAAGGGAAATCCGAGCGTTACTGCCAAGAGGGAGTAAATCCCACCCAGCAAGCTCAACAATCGGCGAGGAGCAAAAATTGTCAGATCATCCACATAAATTGTCGGAACTGAGCAGTAATCCCTTGTCAGCCAGCGATAAATTCTTTAAGAATAGCTTCCCGCATATCGGCTCCATCAAAGGGGGCTTGATCGCGGCCCAAATGGATATCGCCGGTGGGACACTGCTAGCGGCTTACCGTCGGGGCGCTCGCAAATAATAGAAAGGAAGCGAGACTCGTCGGGGCGAATAGGGAGATTTCTAAACGCTCCAGAATAATCAAGACAGAACATTCCCCACTCTTCACCCGTTTGTGCTTCCAACTTCTCGATTTCGTGCAATACCTGCGTGTAATCGCTCAGCTGGGGGAGTAGGGGGGCTCATGAAGAAGATTATCGTCAACGCATCGTCTGTTAACCACATTCTCTCGATAGTCTTCTACCACTCGTATCGAGACTGCCGGATCAGCTAGATCCACATGACGAGAAGTAGTTGACTTCGCTATAATAGCACACTTCACGAATGTACGATTTCCTATATCCTCTGAGACATCGAGTTGAGGTCATCAACCATATGACCCAAGCGGATATCCCTGCGAACGATTTCCCATAGGCGGAGGCCAGCCTCATCCACGCTCTTGTAGTGCGAGTCAAAAGCATCCGCTACCTCCTCGGGCTCGCGTTGTCTAATTTTATTAAGCTTCGGGGCGTAAGGGGGAAAGCAACCCGAACGAGGGATGTCATGCAATATGCCCGCTGGAAGACCTGCGGGATCTAAAATGGCCGATCGAAGCGTAACATCAGGATCATGCGATGCAGATAGTAACGCCGAGAATAGCTCATCATAGTAGTCGGCACCAGAAGTAGCTTTCGTTGGGGTGACACCCAGGTAGTCACTCAGGGCTGTCCTACATGCCTCCGCTGCCCGAGAGAGGATCTCGTGTAATTCTTCGGGATTGTCGACACTACCTCCCTTCCGCGATATGGCCTAAAAATAGTCAACAACGTGGAAGGCATCGAGAGTTGAAACCATGATATCCATCACAGAGTACGAATGATCATGTAGGCGGGTCCGTGCACCAAGAGATAAGTTCGGAATCTTGGCGCCGATACCCGAACCATCCACGAACGACAGAGGACAGTGAGGATACACCGGGTTTAGCTTGTTTCGTTATCTCACTGTTGCCAAACTGATGTGCATCCCAGCCGATATCATTCTTTATGTCATGCTCGTCTAGCGTTCCCTTTGCGGCTCACTTATGTATGCCGAGATCCTCTTTTCCCTCCGTTGTCGGGATCGTCCAGCAAACTTGTATCTCGCAACTGACCAGAAATCGACAATAGCACTCATTGTACTGGAGGTTCACAGTGTTGGAGTAGGAATATATGCTTGCTTTCTTCAGCTGAGCTCAGGAGTGAACACAGTGTTGGAGTAGGAATATATGCTTGCTTTTCTCAGCTGAGCTCAGGAGTGAGCACAGTGTTGGAATATATATTTGCTCTCCTTAGCTGAGCTCGGGAGTTTCCTGACTCAATTCGCACCCGATTTGGAGTAGCAGAAGTGCACATAAACCATTTTTTCCAGGATTTTCTTGTCATCATTAACACACGTAGATGGCAATGTATATATTTTCCCGCGCTCGCAGAGTCCGATTCAGAGGCCAGAAGCTCCCATCACGAACTTCGTGACACGAAGACTATCCATCTGCATGCCCACCGACCAGCTTGGGAAGACCCCGACCAGGGTTTAGCATGAGAAAATATGCACACTGTAAACTTCGTGTGGGAGGCGCTAGTATAAAAATTATGAGGAAATTTTTGGGAAATTATCGCTGCTTTTCATAGGATTCCACTTCGGTTCGTGTATGAACTTTTTATGGAGAAGGCAAAATATTTTCCAAGACTGCGATAGTTGAACCCCACCTCCGGAGCTCATCCAAGTAAGATGACTCCTGTTTTAGTGTTGCCAGCAAGCCGAACTAATTGCTATTGTTATTAGAGTCGACTGAGACAGAGGCATTCACCCGAAGTAGGGCTGACGAGATAATATCGAGTGATTACGATACTATATTGAATTGAGAGAGCTTCACCCGTGATATGGACAACACCAGTGAAAACATATTTTACACTTGAATTCGCAAAAAAACTAAAAGGGGTGAATAACGCAAATAACACTTGTAATGTATTATTGTGTGCGTGAAACATGGAAAGTACTACGCATCTCTCGCGATATGGGCTGACTTATCGCGCTATTTTGTAGATTGTTTTCAATTCATTTCATATCGCGTTTTCACATGAAGGATCAAGCAACGGTTGAAAGTTCAATACAGTTCACATGACACTTAGATCATCTATAACATTTATAATTATATTTGATATTATAATACTGGTGCTCGAATGATGCAATAACAACCAAACACGATCCGTATAGGGACGGACGGAAGGGAGAAATAAAAAGGATAAAAAAGGCAGCGACAGGAGAAAGATGAGTACGCTCTAAACGAGTGACGACACACTTTGGAGCAATCGTGTGTGGACTAATGTAAATACCTAGACGGTGCAAAGAGTATCAAAATATAGTCAATAACCCAAGAAGGTCCGTCCAAGGGGCTCACCTAATGCAACTCCATCAAAAGTCATCGACACGGCGCAGATGCCTGACACCGAGCATGCGATGTCCTGAAGGGAGGAGATGATACTGTGGAAAGAGAGAGTGAACTCCACTAGCTGAAATTGTTCATGCTATATCTTATGCAATGCGGGAAATATGTACACCATCAACTGCATGTGTTGGTGACAATACAAAAATTCTGAGAAAACTTCTTGTTGGTTTTCGTACACTTCTACCATTGCATACTTAATGAGAAAACTTCTGAGCTCAGCTGAGGAACGCGGAGGAATATCTTTCCAGACCGAAATCATCTTTGCAAATGTAATCCATTAAAACTTCTATTAGAGACAATCCCTGTAATAGAGGCTTCACCTTAGCAAAACTCCCCCGAGAAATTGGTATGTTAGTGACAAACGGACTGCTCGGACCGGACCAGGACGAGCAATGTGGAGGCAACCAGTAGAGCTTCTCGCCGTAGTTGTCACCACACCAGCTGTCACAGGTGTTAATGAGCTCAAGAGAAGTGAGATGCACTCACCGAGAATCACAGTGCCATGTCACGACATGCCAGGAGCCGTCCACGGTATAGCTGACAAGAAGGAGCAGATGCGATTGCAGTACAATAACGATAAGCGAACAGATTCAATAGAAAGGTGAGAATACAGAAATTCTCGCTCCAAAATCAGAAACCACATCCGATATGGTTTCTGATTTCTGTTCGAGTTTCTGTTTTCTTTCGATTCGAATAAACATTGCTATGAACATGTGATGTGATAAAAGTAACCTTTCGAGACTATGATAGCGACAAGTTGTGCACTATTATTAATCTCGAACGAAAGAGGCACATTCTCCACATTTGCATATCACAATTGCACACACTGTATAAGACACTTCATCCACTTCGTGTCGTATCTCTGACGACCTCATTCTTCCAATGCCTCCCCAGATTTTTCGACCACTTATAGTATCAAGCTTATCAACCTCGCATTTTTCCGTAACAGTTGAGCACCAAAACTTCACAGAAAAAGGGTTCGATCGATATCATGGACATGTCTAGCCAAAGGTGCTCGTTTCCCCTTACCGAACGTTGCCAAGTCCATCTGTTGCATACTCCCAGTCAGCGTGGATCTCGTGAACCATCTTCCAACCTAGACGGAAACACTGAGGGTTCGCTCAGTTTCACTACGAAAATTGGTTTCATTTTTCATGAGCAAATTAACAAGTCTAAATTCTCGATGATAACCTACTTCGTATATCAGTGGTGTCATAGTAGCGAATCCTATTCTTGTCGAGCGGATCAAGAACAGTAGTAATATACATTTGCGAATCATCTTTTCCTGAAAAAATACAAGTATTGTCGCAATTGAATGAAACCACTAAGGTGGGGGGGAGATAAGTGAATAATTGACTACACGTGAAGAGTCTGAGGGAATTTCAGGAAAATCTTTCAAGTTTCTGAAAACTTCTACCCAAATCCTCAGACAAACTACTGCGAGGAAGCCCCTAAGCTCAACAGAGAAAATCGAACGTATATTCCAACACTGTGTTGAGTCCTGAGCTCAGCTGAGGAAAGCGAACATATATTCCTACTCCAACACTGTATTCACTCCTGAGATCAGCTGAGGAAAGTGAACATATATTCCTACTCCAATACTGTGTTCACTCCTGAGCTCAGCTGAGGAAAGTGAACATATATTCCTACTCCAACACTGTGTTCACTCCTGAGCTCAGCTGAGGAAAGTGAACATATATTCCTACTCCAACACTGTGTTCACTCCTGAGCTCAGCTGAGGAAAGTGAACATATATTCCTACTCTAACACTGTGTTCACTCCTGAGCTCAACAGAGAAAAGAGAACGTATATTCCAACACTGTGTTGAATCCTGAGCTCAGCTGAGGAAAGTGAACATATATTCCTACTCCAACACTGTACTCACCAGGGCATTGCGCGTCAGTGACTTTGTTATCAATGATATGCACATCATGGAAGTCGTTCTTTCTACACTTCAAATCACCAGTGACGGTGTATACCTGACAAAAAGAACAGATTTTAGAAGACTGCTCAGCACTATTCGGCAGAGAATACGATGGGAAAGTACAGCACTTGCCTTATTCGAGAAGAAAATGTGAGTAATGTACGTTTTCTATTCCGGGACTAATGATAGTGAACAACTTGTCGCTATCATAGTCTCGAAAGGTTACTTTCATCACATATTCATAGCAAAGTTTACATTATGCCTTTTATATCGATTTTCGTTACTCTCGGAATATAACACACACATGTACTCATCAAATTGAGACGCACTGTGCTTACAAATCTAACATCGCGCATAGGATCAGTCGTATCATATATATGAATTCGCCCATCAGGTCGCTGAGGGTCGCTCTCGTCACGAATGCAAACAAACAGAAATGGCCTCGAATCACCTGCCAAAGGCGGTGTGGAATAACACTTTCATGCGTTCCAACACAGAAACATGACTCTGATGTTGCTACTGCTTCTAGTGATAGGCATGATAAACCCGAATCGTGAGGACACTAGCATACTAAAGCTCATCGATATCAATAGGAAATCACAAGTTGTCGAGTCAGGCTGGTCTTAGGAATCCACGAACAGCATCACTGAGATGCTATGGTCAACTACAAATGTTGGTGATAATAGGAAAATTTCGAAGGAAATCTTGAGAAATTCTTCTTGGCTCCTGTGAAATTCCACCAGGATTCGTATGCAAACTCCTATGATCAGCGAAGGAACTCTGGCAACATATATCTCACTATGTTCCATCCAAATGACAAGACCTCCGCCCGGATCAGCGTCGAATAAGTTCTTGTAATGCGCGACACTCCCATTCTGATCAATTCCCTTCCCAGTATCGTGAACACGTAGCCCTGCTTCAACCGAATACACTGTCGCCAGACCAGGGGTGACTCCAAGAATCGCCTCATCTGTGAGTTGCCTGAGCAACAACTTGTTTTTTCATCCAGCGACAAGTGTCATGAGCACATGTATGGAAGCGGGTCAATAGCAAGAGTTCTGAAGGGTTCGAGTATCATTAGTATCAGTGTTGATAATCTCGAGTAGTGTAAAGCGACAGTTTTCACTGAGATCCTCCTGGGAAAGTATTCACATGATAAACTACATGTACTCGTGACAATATAGAAATTTCAAGGAAATTTCGAGGAGATTTTCAGGAAATTTTGAGGAGATCCCCGTTGGTTCCTCTACCGCAACTGTTAGAGCTAGTCAGAAAGCTTCTGCGCTCAGCTAAGGAGAGCGAACATATATTCCTCCAACACTATGTTCACTCCTGAGCTCAGCTAAGGAAAGGGAACATATATTCCTACTCCAACGCTGTTTTCCGGGCCAACATAACTAATGGTCCAGTCTACAAATGCGATAATCCTCTCGAGAGACAAATAGGCGTTTGCGGTATGTGAATTCGCGTGAAAAAAACGACGTCCTTCCCGTTTGTAAGCGCTTCACCCACACTGTCTTTCCCAACTTGAACTTCTCCAACAATTCCATAGCTATAGCACTCTTTGAATCGATCACAAGCTGCAGAAAGAGCCACTACCAAATTTTTTTAATTTGATATGCGAATATGTGGTATTTTCCAAGATTGTCAAGTATCGATGTGAAATATATCGCAGAAGCGATGTAAACACTGCTATGAACAAATGATGTGATAAAAGTAGCCTTTCGAGATAAGTTGCATCGGAATTAGCATATCCTCTGCATATCAAAAAGATACACACAGTATTATAAGTGTAAGCGTAGGAGCCGCTGTTGACAAAATTTTGACTTTCACAAGCCACGACGCATTCAGAATAAAATCGATAATACTCAGCAGTGTGATACGAATATACTAGTAATTGATTCTCCAGAAAATTTTGAAAAGTCTACACAACTAATTTTCCACATGCATAGTGATTCCCGTCTCGAGGACATACCAACGGCATCGTCATTAGTGAGACTTCAGCGGGAAACGCATACACCTATGCAAGGCGTGCTTCAAGACATGATTTGTTACAAGTCTTACGTCGTAGTCCTTCATAGAGGGAGCGGAAGCGTTGGTTAGAAGTATCATACCGTGTGCATCTGATGTAGATGCAGATCGATCAAGCTCACTTAGTCTGTTGAAGAAAGTTGATCATTTCATAAGTATGATTGTTGATAGGATCTCTAGATTGCAGTAACCATTGACGTGAGTGTTCTAATGACTACCAGGCTGCTTCTCAGTCTATTGCCTACTATATCCACACGTGAGAAGTTGGCTGGGAAGATGATATATATGTTTGATCACCAGGATGATACAAAAGACCCAAACGGGATTGTCGGAATCTATAATCATGACCCGAAGTACGGATGCTCAGTGTGAGGACGAGCATTCCATTAACCATTGCCTTGAGTTCCCTCATCGCCACCAGTAGCAGAGAAGCACTGCATCTCAGTGTATTGTCTACTGCTCTCACACTTGAGGAGTCCATCGGTGAGATAACATACGTTCGATGATACAAGGGACACAAACAGAATTGTCGGAATCTGTGATCACGACTCGACGCACGCATGCTCAGCGTGGGCACAAACGAACCTCGGGCATCAGGGTCATGTGCGCTCGAGTACTGTAGTTGTACAGAGTGCACAACTATCGACTCCAGCTTGATACTAGCTATCCATTTTGAGGGTACGATTGTAGATAGAATCTCTAGATTCGATTAACCATTGCCTTGAATGTCCGTATGGTTGATAAATATGTGACTTGCGGAATATCGACAAGCTTACTAGATAGCAGCAGAGCCTTGTACTGGGCAGTAACGTCGCAGAAGGAATCATTCACGAGAACCCATTTGTTCGATACTTGCATACTAAAGACATTCACGATCGAACGCCGCATCACGAGTGATCCTACTTTTCCGAAGAAGCAATTCGGCAGCCAGCTGAGGCCAAATCAGATATCCGAGGGCTGTTCCCAAGGTAAGCTTCGCGCGAATCGCAACAAACTGGTCGAGGAGAAACAACATCGCTCGCTCAGTTATTTCAGTGAATACTACGAATGTGATCATTTCGGCGTAGCGTATTATGTATCATAACAATATGCACACCTATTCACACGTTTGAGCTTCAACTAGGGTAGACTTCTACAAGAACTTCACTAGCTACTTCAACGAAACAGCTATCTGGCAGCGAAAAACGGAAGGGGGAACGGAAGCGGGAGAAAAATTTTTTTCTCTAGCGGGAACGGGAGAGGGCGGGAAATTGCAATTTTCCCGCTTTTTCCCGCCGAATGATTCCACGTACCTTTATACGGCGAGATGTGTATCAGATACACATCGTGGAGCTCATGACGACACGCACAGAATCGATAGCACTTTAAGACGCCTTTCTCACGTATCGAGTCGTATATCTTCTTACCCCGATTGACATAACAACTCGTCAAATGGCAAGGTTCTCAAGTTTTTCAAAGGAAATTCGACGCTTCTCATGTAATGGGTAACAATAGTAGCAGGAACTCACTGGAGTGTTCAGTAGCAGCCGTTCGGGTCTCTGGCCATGCATCAGATGGAAGCTGGAGCCAGCTATGCTCGAAAAGCTGAGATGAACACTATGTGCCATGAGGAACCAACATCACCGCTGTGCATGACATAGAGTGCGTGTAGGTTTGATATGCTAAAGAGTGTGCGTTTTCTATTCCGGGATTAATGACAGAGAACAACTTGTCGCTATCATAGTCTCGAAAGGGTATCATCGTATGTTCATAGCAATGGTTATATTATTTAACCCGGAAAGTAACGCACATTTGCACATCACACCAACACATACTATATGTCTATGATAAAATGACTTACCACGACCTCATGACGATTTGATTCTTCTCGTCGTAGTAGTTCTACTCCCAGCGGTGCACTCAAGCCGTCTTGTAGTGAATACTGATTAACAGGGCCGTAGCAAGCCAGGCAGCTGTCTCCTAATTCGAGCTTACCATGCGAGATGGTAGTAATCCACTAGCCGGGGTCAAATGCTGTGATTGTCCTGCCACCGCTGATGCTCTCGTATCGGTGTACTCAAACTGTGGCGCACGCAGACAGTTCTCCAATCTGAAGCTGGACGGTTAAACGCCTTCTAACGAGAGCATACCTTTGATGTGTGCAGCTACATTCTTGGTTGAACAGGATGTCCCCTGGGGAGACATCCGGACGGGCCTCGTATACCTAGGTGGCGTGAAAGCACTAGAAACGCCGTTATCAAGATCAATGC